TGAGCACTGCAACTATCCGATTCCAACTCAGAAGGTCCGTCCATGGATCGATGAGCTGCAAGGGCGTCTTGGAATGCTTCAAAATCACGCATCCATTCAATGGCAAACGAACAATCGATAATGTCAGTCTGTTAAAGAGAAAGGAGAAAAATTGGGTAAATAAATACTGTTAGTATTTTCAGGAATAAATCAGTTGCAATTGATAATCAGGTAATGAGAAATAGCACTGCAATGTTCGCCTTTCGTCAACTGACCTGATCGAAACCCGATTACGGGATAAATAAAAACCTAGGTACACTATACTATATAAAACAAAAGAAGCAGAATATCATAAGATCGCATATATACCGCAGAAGTAATAATCTAGAACATGGGTGTGTGCGAGGAGAACAACAGGGTTTGAAGAATTACAGAATAGGCACTATCCACACGTTAATGGAAGTCCTTAATACAGCTAAATATTCTCCACAGTCCAGAGCACAACTATGTTGGCCCACGGATGACAGATCATCACACAATTTAAGTACTGAGATCGCTTAGGGTCAAACTGGTGTACGTACCACATTTAAACATATACTGTGGTAACCATAGGATCACAATTTCCTTCCCCCAAAACCCTGTTAGGGTGACAGCTATGGCCTCATAGGTTGCTTCTACAGCTTTCCCGAACGGTAGTAAGATGTGAAATCAGCTACTTTAAATGTTTTTTTTAATCCTATGTGAACTCACAGACACAGTCTGCTTGTTGGTCCAACGACATCAGAGTCCTCACATTAAAGTCCCCCACTTTCAGTTATTCGTCACCATCATCGGACAGCGAGATACAGTGAAACGAACCTCGCTGATTGCTAACGAGCTCACAATGTATACGAAGAAAGTGACAAAGTAAGAGATGGATAGAGACTGAGTCTAATTGGAGGGAGGTGAAGATAGTGAACCTCCATGGACAACACACCAAGTACACAACCTAAGTGTGCACACACATTTTCAGGCATTGTGACCTCATAAGAAACGACAGTAACCGTGAAGCAGAACTGATTGCACAGTGGCGCGGTGTAAGTAACCTTTGAAACCACGTCAGCAACTAAGGTGCTTCAGTTCTGCATACGCCACGTGTACCTTGTAAATGCGGGTGGGTAGTCCCTTGATTTTGCTGTAATCAATTGTCATGCAACACACCAGATAAGAGAAACAATCCACCACAAATAATTTTTGAACAATCAAGCATCAGAGAGTCAGTCGATGAATCTGAACCTCGAAGATTTGATGCGCATACCTAATAAAGTTACATAATTTGGAAGTCTGTTGAAAGCATTTAGTCCAACATCCATATATTTGAAAGGACAAACGATATCGTCAAGGCAATCTAAATCGCACAGCCTTTCTCCTGCTGCCCAGTCAATACCTGCTTTTTGAATAGCATGATGTTTCGTCTACGAAGAAAATGAACAGGAATGGCGAACACCAATGATGATTTCGAACGATTTGCTTTGCCCACTATAGACCATTAATCCACCAGGAATAGACCGGTCACTATTCCCTTGCAACTCGTGAAATGATCCCATACGACAAGGTGTTTCAAATGGCCTCTGCTGAGGAAGTCCTACTCACTGTTTCCCCACCAAAGTGAGAGGACGAAAAATGACAAGGAAGTCGCCCCAGATTAAAAAGAGTGAGGGAAGTTCATCAGGTCCCACTGCCTTCTTTTTCTTTAGCGATTTAATACAACTTCTAACCCCTAGTTCTATTGGAAGTTCGCATATTACCACTCATGGAGATTCCATTAGCATCACGCCTGTTCACGAAAATACTCAGCCCAGCGACCAAGTCGTTCTTCTTTACCGTGAATACTCTGCCCACTTTTACCGCAAATGGTCTCAAAGACCGGTTTGCGACGACTTCCGGTGCTGCATATCAGGTGAAACAGTCTTCGACTATTCGATGATGAAGAAGCTACCTCCATGTCAATAGAATCAGGTTTGTTTAAGCCACAACGTGAGTACCAAAACACAAGATTTCGGTGACAACGTTTCGACCTTCTTGGAAGGCCTTTGTCAAGTCAGTTTAATCGGTTTCTCGAAAACACAAGCTTTAAGGCGAAAATCGCGGCGTTCAAGGTTGACCCAAAAACGGGGTCAAGTGCGTAAGTTTCCGTGTATGTGTGGACGTGTGCGTGTGTGTGTTATTGTGTATGTTGGATTCGGGTTATCATTAGCACTCTGTGGGATCTGCACCTATTGCGTGATCTGTGTTGGTGTGTGAAAACAATACACGAGAGGTTTGTGGGG